AAGTACGTGAGCACACACTGCATCCGTCCGTCCGTGTTTGTTTGTCTGTTTGTTTGTTTTTTCATCCATCCATTCACCCATCCATGCATGCATGAATGCGTGCATGCACGCATGCACGCATGCCTGCATGCATTCATGCAAACATGCATGCAAACAAACGCACACACCAACACACACACACACATGCCTAGCTATGAGGCACACCTATATAGGCAGGATGGAAGGTAGCTAGGTAGGTCGACAGGTTGGTTGCTAGTGGTGCTGGGGGCGAGTGTGGACGGTTCCGGTGCGTGCATGGAGTGGGGCTGCAGGTGCGGGCACTCTTCGTGCTTTGTTGTGATGGTTGGCGGTGATAGTCAGGGGCAGTTTGTCCTGTTTCTCTGTTGCACTTGATACCGCGACTGGGCATGTTGTCTTACTTTCTCTTGTCAGCTGGCATTGACCATGTCTGCAGGCTGTACTTATCAACCTGGACAGAAGCTTTCTACTCAGATTCCGAGTTCTAGCATCCACAAGTTCGGGGATTATCACAATCAGTGTATTTGGGGACTGAGATGGACTGAGGGTTTTAAGGGTCGTGCCTGAGATCTGTTTGTGAAGAGAAGCCTGTACGTCCTGCTCTCAGATCTGGGATTCCTGGAAGAAGAAGTCACCATGCTAGCAGAATCATGCACTGCGATCCCCCGCATCCCTGTGCCGGTTCGAGATCCCGCAAGGACTGCTTTTTCCACGTAGTCTTGCTCCATGAACCTGACCTGCTTTCAAGAAGGAGCCATCCGAACACCGCCTAAGTGCACTAAACTCTGCATTGCATAGCCAGCCTAACATCCGCGTGATCTTTCATCATCTTTTTGCATCAGCAGCCGGCCAGCCTCGCTGGCCCCACTCTGCAGAGCATCCGATTGCACAAGTCCTGCGATCCCAAGCATTTAGAATCCCACATAAGACATAAAGAGAATACACAGCGCTTCTAAGCCTGTTCGATTGTTCCACCAAGGGCCAGACCGCCTGGCAGAATGCTCGAAGCGGTTGGAAACGCATTGCCCTTGGTTGCAGTGCGCCGCAGAAGTGTGAGTCTGTTCAGGATCGGTCTGGAGTGCGGAAGGTTTGCATCGCATGTCAGGCCTTGCAGGGCCCAACAATCCCAATATGTTGGGACCCTACATAACTAGGCCCAGTGATACTTGAAACATTGCTAAAAAAAGCCTCTGCATTTGACCAAGTACTAAGTCGACCTCATTCCTCATAGGGCATCGTTTCCAAAGAAACCCTACTTCAATGTACCGGGAAGCCTTGCCAAAGCCGGGGCCCCTGAAACCCCCAGACTTCCACAATAGCCTTTATGCAGGGGCCTAAATAATTACCAATACTATTCTGGGGTTCCTTGTTATAATGATAGTACAATGGGCTCCAAAACCCTATTCTAATTATTAAGGCCCGTACATTAGGGCGTTGTGTTTTCGAAGCTGACTTCAAATCCGGTCCAACTGCCTCGGACATCGCAGAGGGGGTATCGGGAAGGTTTCATTGGTTTCCCTGGCGGAAGTTACTTGTCGCAGTTAGCCACTAGCCAGGTACAACCGCATGCGGGCCAGCGACGGCAAAATCGACACAATTACCTCAGAGGAAGTCTCCAACTCGTGGCACACTGGCCGCAACGTCGTCTATCAGAAGATCCGGTCCCGAAGAAAAGGCCCGGTGCCTGGTCAGAATCTGTTGGCTGCAGTCATGCTTACAAAGCAAGCCTAAGCCAGAAGGCTACAGCCGCCACCCCCGAGCCAAGACAAGCAGCGCCGGGTGATACAAGCGACTTTGGAGCTAGTGGACTATAGAATCCCTCAGCAGACTATTTAATGCAGGTTGGGATGATCTGCACACATACGTGATTCGGGAGCTCCCGATGAGTGCCGGTGAAAGAGGCTGCGCATCACCCTCAGAGTATTGTGCTTCGCGATGTTAATCGATTGCAAATCAGGTGTAACTCCTTTGGAGCTGCAGACTCTATTTGTCTAGTATGTCCTGTTGGATGGGGTAACCTCATCTGGTGAAGTTGACATCTTGAAGGGGCCCAGACCCGGAGTCTCCACAAGACAGATCCGGCAAGGTAGTAGGTAGAAGAGGTCATTGCACCACTCGGATAGAGTCACTGAGCAAAGTTAGAGCGCTTCACAGCCGACTACATGCGCACCAAGCTCAGAATCTCTGGCAGTAAGGCCTCCTCGCACATTCGGGCATGGCGACACTGCATCGATATTTGCAGCCACCCGCCCAGAAGTGAGGGCTTTGCCGGGCTTTGTATCTAATCTTGAGTCGATTCACTTCCTCATGCTGTTGAAATGGACTGGCAGGCCATGCGTCCCCCAATCAACATGACAATGTTACGCTGGCACCGCAAGCCAGTGCAGGCATGCCTGTATGTGCGCGTATGTCCATGCCTTACCCTCTTCCCTTGCTTGGTCTTGCCAAGAAAATGCTTTCTGCCTCCGGCTCTCTCCGACGATGCTGCTGACGGGTCAGGGCACAGGAGGTGTCGATTTTTCTCGCAGTACTGACCAGCAAGGTCCATCACAGCCCCTGCTTGCCAGGAGCTCAGTATGCTGCCAAGCCACACTCTCCTCGTCTTGTGAATCAGAACCCAAGACCCGGGCGAAGTCATAACCGGTGGCCACGTTCGATAAGTGATTCGGCACTGCCATGTGGCGGTTTGCCATAACTTGGTCGTTCGTTGAGCAGCAGTCCCCACCCAGTCTTGGAGAAGTTGACGGAATTTTGAGCTCAGTGAATTGAAATACAAGACCTCCTTACACACGTGGAATACTGTGGCATACTTCTTGTTGGACACCTGATCCTAGTTACTGGTCCTAGTTATCTTTCCGTGAGATGTGTATCTGCAGAGAGTCGTTTCCCGCGAGGTGTTCGAAGATGATGCAGTTCCCACCCAGGAATTCACCGAGGCGTGCAGCTTGGCACACACTCCGGGCAGGTGTGTGAAGGGCCAATCCCTCTAAAGGAACTGCAGAACTAAGAGCATTCAAGCCCAAGTACCGACGCCGTCCCCTGAACAATGCTCGGTGCTCTATCAGTTTCTCAACTCCTGCGAAAAATCTCAACGAAGACCAGCGCGAGGGCCTGTCGCGAGCTCTCGCTTCCCTGCCAAGCGACGCAGACGTGCTGTACCTGGGCTACTCGCAGGCGGGCGACGGGATCTGGCACCATTAACTTGAGCCGAAACAAAAAGATTCTCAGACTGTTGCTAATAAGACCAATACTAATGCCAATGCGAGTTCAAATACTTGTACTGATTAAAATTATGTGCATACCCTAACTAATGCTACTGCCAAGACTAAGACTTGGACTAAGACTGAGACTAAGCTACTGGTAAGGGGTGTTGTGGAGTTTGGGGTCAGGCGTTTTCGAGCATGGTCGGTCTTCCTCGAATGAATCGTTTCGTGGATGCCATGAAATGAACTATGTCTTCGGAAGAGATGAGATTCGCAGATCAAGGGAGATCGAGCAGGTAGAGAGGCCGTGTAATTTCGAGTTTCAGAATTTGTACTTAGGAAGAGCTCCGGACCGGTAGGCAGCCGAGTGGCGGCGGCACGTCTCTCCAGAGCTGGTGGAGGCTTCGAAGCTCGTTTGCCCGGGTTCCTTCTGCGGGACTGGAGAGGTGAACTTTCCAGTAAACTTTCCCGAAGACCCGTGAGAAGGTCTGGGATTCTGTCTCGGGGAAAGGGATGCGATGCATTGCCTTCCAATCCAAGGACCGAAGCTAGAAGCCTAAGGCTTAGGCTTAAGCGTGCGGGAATCTGCTTCGCGATACGCATCGTAAGGGGCACAGGGACCGAAGTGACATACAGCCATTTGGCTGTGGTTGGCAAGCCAAACCCACCTGGCAAATTCAGGCGGAGTACGTGTGGACCACTGTGGCGTGCGCCTGCCGTCAACTCTTGTTGGTCGGGCTTTTAAGGCTAAGCTCGCGGAGCATACTGATCTTGAGCATCCAGATTCCGCTGCTCTTGCGCTTGAAAAGTTTTGCAGGAAACCTGTCGTGTAACTGATGAAGGTTATACAGTTATACAGTATTACAGTTTGTGTAATTCGGCAATCAGAGTGGTTCCACTTAAGTGCACGCCTGGCGCACCGCACCTGTCACCTTACGACTGACACCTGTCGTTAACACTGTTGCTGTCGCAAAGAGGCAGCTTGGAGCAGGTACATGGTTTGGCCGGAAGGAGCTCGCAAACTACTGTCCAAGCCGCTGGGACTGAATCTCTTTCGGAATTCGGGTGAAGGGATTTCGGGGTCTTGCATGTGTGGAGCTTGTCCGATTTGAGCCTGAGGGTGTGTAGGCGCCGTGAATTCGTTCTATTGTCAACACTCCGGGTCCTTCTAGGCAGGTGTCCAGAAGCTTAATCGTAGCAGCATGCCTGGAATCCTCACGGGCAAGTTCCACTCACTTCAGCCGTATATCCTAAACTGTATGAAGGCCCTAAAATAAAGCGAAGCCCTAAACCCCACAGGTTCTGAGTCGCTTAGGCTCCAAGAGGATGTGATTACGAAGACCTAGAATGTGTGTTGCCGTGGTAGTTCGTTCGAAATTTTGGAATCTGTGGGCATCGGCAAGCCGGGATGTTTAGTCCTAGCGGTTCAAAGGCTCCCGGTGAACCAGCCCGTGGACAACTTCATGGCGACCCTTTGCGCCGACGGAGACATCAAGGTGGATTGTGAAGGGACTCCAGGATAAGATGGTATTGGGTAAATGCTAGGAATCGAAGCATGGCCGACACTCCTCATGGCCTCCGACATCGAGAAAACTTCGAAACAGTCTAATCGAAGCCGAGCCGAACGAAACCAATAAGCGGCGTCCCCAGACTCCGAAGCCCTCTCTTCCAAAAAAGGCCTACTGCATGCGGCCAAAGATCGTGCACCAGGCAGACGGCTGGAACGTGGTGCGCCCAGCCAACATCGCGGCCCGAGCAGTAACATCAAGTCGGGGATAAGGTCGCGGTGAGATCTGTTTCCAAAAATGTGGGTGCCACGATGCTTTTTGAGAGTCCATTCGTAGTTTGCGGCTAGAACGTCCAGCGACCGTGCTGCAGACGTTGAGAGGTTGCAGGTTGCAGCTCAGTTTCTCCAGCATGCAGAGGGTTGAGGGCGTGGGACTGGCGCCTGAATTGAATTCAGGGGCACATCTCTGGGATTCTTGGAGGATTCAAGACAGGGCTGTCGTGGCTAATCTCAACCTTCGTTGGAATTGAGCTCTGGACTCAGAAGCTCAATTCGAGGCACGGCCTCATATCGCAGAGAAAGCATCAACAAAACCACATGCAACGAGGCTGTAAGTGCAGCAGGCGGGATGCGCATGTCATGCTTGGAACTTGCAACCCTGCATCCTAACCGCTAATCTCCTGCCATACTTGTCAGACTGCATTGACTGGAAAATTTCAGGTGAAGTCTGATGTCGGCCACTCGGATGAGGCCCCACCACCGGGTGCAGCGACTTGACCGCAGCAGCAAATCCTTCCTGGCTTTTGATGGTTCTCTATATTGCACCATAGTAGATACTACAGTACAGCACATTCTCGTAGCATATGACAGTATACATTCTGCATGGATACTTGCATTCACTCTCGTGCAATGCACGAGACCATCATGAGACCCATTGGCAAGCGACGATTCTTGGCTTTGGGTTGCAGAGCGGAAGTGTTCCTGTGGCGAGTCAACATGAGCAGTTTGCTCTGAAGCTCAGCTTGATTCAATTTCCGTTGTTCCTGCCGTGCTGCCCTGTGCCCCTGAACATGTCAAAAGAAACCCCCTCAGGTGAAGTCTGATGTCTTCCACACCGATGATAAGTACTGGGGAGCGGGCGGCAGCCCCATGGGGTCTCGAAAAATCGGGGATTGAGGACTTTTGGTGTAAGGTTTGAGTCTGAGGCACCCCCAGATCCTTGGCCCTTGTAAAGCCCTCCTCCTGACCTGCACTTTTGCGCAGTAGAGCCACATGCAGAGCATGTCTTCAGATTCACCGCAGCAGGCCCTAGCTAGAGGTGCTTGAGGGTTGGGTTTGAAACGGCTTTGGGCCCTGTTGGATCCTCATTCGTTGCCTTCGGCAGTGAAGATCCTGAAATGGTATAGCGAGTGAGCATCAGTCATGCATGCATGCATTTATTCGCGCATGTGTCTCTCTCTCTCTCTCTGTGTGTCTTCGGGTCGTTGTGATTTTGGGCTTTTTTCCATGATCAGTGCACATTGGCAAAACAGTTTTTCAGGGTCTCAGGAGTCCATTGCTGCTAACATCTGATGCAAAAGCCCGTGCGTCTCGCGCTATACCAGGTCCTGCCAATCCGCACTTCAATGTCTCATTCAGTTTCGGCGCGGATTCGGATATCGTCAAGTCAGACGACCGCTACTGGGAGCTGGGCGCTCAGCACCGTCTGAGTGCTGGAGCGTGTTTTCTGAGCTGTGTGTTTGGAAGAGTTAGGCAAACAAGTTTCCGGTTCGGGAGAGATTTCAACCCCGTCTTCAAGTGTGTGGCCGTCTAAAAGCATACGCACTGAGAACTAGAATGCATGCTGATTCATCCGGCAAGAGCCAAAGCGAAATGGAAACTGAACTGTCGCAGAAAAAGCCACAAGTGGAGGAGCATGAGCTCGAGGCGAAGAGTGCTCGCAAAGCTCTACTGTAAGCTGTAAGTGCTAACTGCAACAAAATTAGCCAGTTGGCACCGGGCCCAGGTAGATGCGCCCACGATGTGACTCTGGTCAGACAGAGTTCGGGTTCTGGGCCGGACCATAGTGCCTGAGGAGCCTCTTTTATGTTCAAAAGGCAGGGACAAACGGAGGCCGAATATGTGTATCTAACTGGCACAGAAGTGCACTAGCCAGATTGCTCTCGACAGCGGAACTTAGCGACTTAGCTTGTTGGCTAGGGCTTCTTATGTTACTTGGCTGCGGGGCTGTATGCAGCATGTTCAAGAGGCGGCGGTGGTTGTACAACTAATTACAAAAATGCGGATGATGCATCAGACGCATACTAATGTTACAACATGTCCAGGCAAGCGGCTGTGAAGGAATAAACACAGCAGAAGCGCATGCATCAACAAATTTCATTTGTCTTGTGACCTCTTGTTTGCGTGTGTCACTTGTAAGAACCATAACCGAGCCATCGCGCTGGAGCCACCGTACTGAAGAGACTGTGTAGACACTTACCCAGTCAAGTGCACGCGTGCGCACACCACGAACACCATTGTGGTGCACGTATATGCGTACAGGCTGCCAAAGTGCCATAATGCCCAGACTGACACGAAACATACATGGCAAGTGCCTAGACAGCACCTAATGCATGCTCACGCAGCTAGATACGGTTTGAACCGATGTGCATTTTCACGATGGAGATCAATCAATGTGTTGACTCGAGTTGAACCTCTATCCACGTGTATACATGGGACGTCCTTACGAAGCTTGTGATTGTGCGTGATACATGTGTATACGAAGCATACATTTCCTCCAGGGCGGTCTAACAGATGTCTACACACATGCGCTTCGAACGTGTCCAGGGACAAAAACAAATATGAGTAGCTAGGTAGGTAGGTAGGTAGGTAGGTAGGTAGGTAGGTCGGTCGGTGGGTAGACAGGTAGGTGGCAAGATGCACGATCAATGTGCAGATATGTAGAGATCAAGTCGACTTACCACGCCCCGTTTGCGTCCACCTGTTCGCATGGTGCTCGCTATAGCCGCTTGTTCTCTGTGCGGCCGTTGTATGTGGAAGTCAGCAGCTGCAAAGGCTAGGAAGGTGGTCTTGCGGGGACGAGAGTCAGATATTCATGATGCTGCCTGATGACATCGTCGTGTCTTCTTGCCTGGCTGAGCCGTTTTGCCACATCCTGGCCTGCCGGTGAGGAGTCTTCCCCTGTGAATTTGAGGCCTCTATAAGGTATCGAGGTACCCCAAGCTTCACTTCCTGGTCTGGCACAGTCAGCTGCAGCAGACGTACTGCCCATGTGCAAGTGGCGGCGCATTGGTTCATTCATTACATTCTGGTGCATGGCATCAGCGTGGCTGTTTGCTATGCGCACGTTTGTTGTGCTTGGGGAGTTGAGTTCAGCCTACCTACGTGGAGAAGTCAGCAAGGCTCTCTGACTCAACTCCCCTTTGTTCAGTTGCACATTGCCAACGGTTGCAAAAACCGATGGCGTTATGAGTACGGCTGTGAGCCTCCATGCAATAAGGGCTGAGGCGAAGCTGCACGAAGAACCTTGCTGCGAATGTGGCACAAACCATGAAACCCTGGCAACCTAACTTGTCCAAACCAGGGACAGTGACGAGAACTGAAGCTAGAAGAATTGAGTTGAACCCTTTGAAAGGCAAGCAAAGTCCTGCGAGTTTGTGCCCCATGTTGAACAGCCTGGCTCGGTAATTATGCACCGCATGCGCCTTGAGCTCTAGAGGTAGATGCCTCTCAGCAACACTGTCCATCAGCACGATCATTACTGCCTTCTCTTTGGTTCAGAGGTTGAAGTCGAATTGAGCTCAACATCCTACTGCTTGTGGCAAGCAGGGGATGGCGTGGTGTTTCCTGACTGCAGAGACAAAAGGAAACAGCTACACCTCTCCACCATGTCAGGAAAGACCATGCTTCGCGATCAGCTCTCGGGGAAGAGCTGCGATGTAAGTCGGCTCAAAGGCCTCGGCGCGCGGTGATTTCTGTAGGCGAAAATGTAGGCAGGAGGAGCAGCTACACGCAGCTCCACAGGCACTCAAAGTCGGTACGCCCCGGTGTAGGAAACCAAGCCAAACTCTCCAGACACCTTAATTAAGATAGCCTCAGATAGCAAAGGCGAGTATGCTGGCCAACTTAGCAGCTTAGCAAGATATCTCTTCGAGAGAGCAAGTTGTTGTTTGATTTCTCGCTGACTTTCGAACAAGTTTTGCAGTGCACCCAAAAGGGAGACACATGCTAGAGTGCAATGTGGATGTGGAACATCGCATTATCCACATGTGAATGCCGTGAGCAGCAGACGCCAGCTTGGGCCTACATAGGCACAAGATTAGAGTTAGCAAGTGGTATACGGTTAATGGCCCAACATAAGGCACTGCTTGCCAGCGCTAGTTCATGTTGCACGGCTTCCCCATCGCAGCGACTGGCAGCGGCCTCGACTGCTTTTTGCCACCCCAAGTTGAAATCAGAGCCAGGCAGCAGGATCGCGAACTTGGGACCAATGGAAGCACCGACCTAGTACAGAATAGAAAGTCATGTGGAGGGAGCCATGATCCTACACGAGGGTATTTGCATGTGTTGTTGCATACACATACAGAGGTATATGGAAACCCAAACAAAGGCGCTCACGCACATGTTCTTCATGTAGCAACAGTTGTTGCTACTGTGCACCTCGGAATTCATGCTGGTCTCCAACTCGACGCTGCTTCTTATCGTGTTATGACAGTTGTGACCGTTACACTTATCCAACTTCTGCGAGAGTCTACTGTCTACTCGCGCGTGTACATACCTAGCGGCCCCACGCTCAGATAGACTTTGTTTTCGGGGACACTGTAGAGATGAATGCCAGTAGCTAACTTGCACGCCTGGTCACTAGTCGCGAGAGAGAGAGAGAGAGGAACAAAACAAGTAGAAATGTAAATCAGAGGCACGCAACGTCTATGCTTAGGAATATGTGGCATGTGTGTGTATGCACACAAATCTTTGCGTACATAGATACTACATACATGGCTGCAGCATACATACATGAGTGTTCACATATAACAACGGGCAACCACAGAGGGCATTGCGTAAGTCTTCCTAACCACTGGAATACCATTCAGTAGGACGTAGCAATATGAAGCCTCATGATCTTCAGAGTGGCTGTCAGTAACCGGCCTGGCGGCATATGCTCGCTGGGCTCTGGTGGGGAGGTATGGTATCTCTATGGAATCACCTGCAAGTACCATGGGACCGCGTGAGTGTTTGAAAAAAAAAAAAGCTTGCTGCTCTCGGGATTGTTCTG